AGGTCGAATGTCCGTGTGACAAGGATTCATGTCCGGACTGATGCGCGGTAAAACCGGAGATTAGGGGTACATCGTGTTGAAGACGAAGAACAGCTCTAGTCGTTCAAGGTACCTGGGAAAAGTTATGTGTATGCACTGTTTATACGGGATACAACCCGAGTCGGACTTGACGAGGTAGGAGCCCGAACCGGCGCCGCGGCGAGATAGGGATGTAATCCGTCGAATGGAGATGTGCTGCCGTTGTTCTCTCGTTGACAAGATTGGACCGCGCGGAAGAGCGGCTTCACCCTGTGGATTACTCTCGCTCCATCATAATACAACATATGAATCCGCGGCTTCATGCCCCCTGGGTGCACAGATGGAGGGATCCGGTCCGAGTCGGGTGGTCTGATTACCGTAGCCTTGACGAAGATTGGGAACGGTAGGTATATGTTGAATAGTAGGCCGCTTGAAGGCAACCGCAACGGGTTGGATGGAAGCGAGGGGGGAAAATTGGGTAAGGGTGCGAGAAGATGGTGTTGGAGAATGATTTACACGGACTGCTATGTAGAAAGTGGCATGTTGTTGATGAGGGAGAATGCTGCAACTTGGAAGGGTCCCATCCGGCAAATTTTTGATAAGGAACCAGACCGGTGCAATCTCAGAGATGCGACTTGAGTGGAGAGTTGCATCGGCCGAAGACGTTGGTGGCAAGAAGTGGGAGGAATTTCAAGGCCCCAGGCCCTTCAACAGCTCGGGACTCACGGAGTTGTCCCTCAATTTCCCTGTCAAGCGAACTGCGGAAGCGGGAAGCGGCTGCCCGGCACGCTGCGGGGCACAGGCGATCCAGGAACGATCCACATGGATGCATGCAGGAACAGAAAGCTTATTAGCGGCGAATTGCAGGGACAGGGATGAAACAAGCATTTGATGTGCAAGTGCTAAGCAAGCTCCTGCATACTTGAGCCTGTGAGCCGCATGTGATCCATCCGTTGGGTGGAAGCTGCAAAGCTAAACTGTGCCTACCTACCTCTACTGTAGCAACTACCCCCATCACACCAAAAAGAGAGGAGGAATGGCTAGGCAAACGGGTTTTATGGCATAAGCGGAACGGTCAACCGACTGCTAGTGCTTCTGCATGAAAATTCTTCAAATTCTCGGGGAACAGAATGGTCCAGAGCAACCGAGCGAATGGAACTTTTGATACGACAGGGAAGGAACGATCGCTACATTACCAACTGCAACTACACAGCTACGGGCTCAATTTCCCTCTGGAAAATGTGAAGGGCACAGCGAAAGAGGCAACGAATGTCCGAGCTTGGCTGCTACCTCTCCCTAAAGGTCCTGTAGAGGTACCTAGATGTACCTAGGTATCCACTATCCAGACGGGCAAGCGTCGCTGCATGGAAAGAACAACTGACTGGAATGCCTTAACTGCTCTGTCGTTGCCGCTCCAGTCACTGCCTTCTTGCTCCCGTCTTGGATCCCCTCGCTCAAAGCTCCATTGTCCCGCCTCCAACCCGGGCCTGCCTCCTTCACGCAACCACTTGTTGGCGTACTTACTTGCCATGCAACTACTCCTTCAGAAAACAAGATGGTCACAGCACCTGCAAGCTGTGTTCTGCGCCCTTGCTTTCCTCTACCTTGCAGGCACAGTTCGAGCCAAAAGCTCCGAATGCCAACCGATATATTGGGAAGCAGGCCAATTCGAGAAACGGGACTTGGCCGACACCACTTCTGCTTTGATATCCTCAATAGCCGGAAGCGTTGACATTTCCACCTCCTCGGCCGCAACGTCTACCGCTGTGCCTGTCACCATCAGCCCCATCATTAGCGACGGAGATGTTGCCCCCGGTGAAATCAACTGTCGCTATGCCGCCAACACGGGAAACACGGATATCAACTACTACACCTGTACCGCACTTGCCCGTAAATACGGAATTAGCGTCAAGGGCTTTTTCAGGTTGAATCCTGAGCTCAGTCCAGACTGCGGGAACATAAAGGCAAACACCGACTACTGCGTGGATGGCTGTGGGTTCCCTTGTACCTCTTCACACGTGAGCTGATGGATCGATCAATGTACGAGACTGACGAGACATTTCATTGTACCTCTAGTTATCGAGCCCCTCAGAGCCACAGACGGTCTCTGCGGTCCCCTACACAACAATGCGACCTGTCTGGGCACCCCACTCCAGTGCTGCAACTCAAAGACTTGGAAGTGTGGTAAATCACTGTGAGTTAGCCTTCTTATTAGCATTGTGCAAGTCGCTGAAGTTCTGAGCTGACGCAACATTTCCGACAATTTAGGGAAGACTGCGCGGATGGAATATGCTTTGAAGGCGCCTGTGCAGGAGATTCGGTCTATACCACGGACGGTCGGTGCGGCCGAGACAATGGCTTCAAGTTGTGTGCTGGTGTTTGGGGCGATTGCTGCAACGCCGCGGGAAGATGTGGTACAGGCCCTTCATTTTGCGCATACGGTGTGTGTCAAATGGGCAACTGTTCCCTGAGTTCGACAACCGCCCAAACTTCTACTTCGAACGTATCTACTACCAAAGCCTCCACCACTTTCTCAGTCACCGCTACCTCAACCACGGTCAAGCAAACATCCACCAGTACAAGTCCAAAAACAACCTCCACGACAAAAACAAGCTTAACCACGACGTCCAAATCGAGCACCGCGGCAACCACTACTACGACAAAGCCTCCCAGCACCACGATCCCCGGCCTAGCTGCTTTGCCCTCGTGTGGTCAAACGTGTTTCAATAACATGCTTGCCCAATACTCCGCCCTGGGATGTGCCAGTCGAGATGGCTACTGTCTATGCAACAATGTCAACTTCAAAAACGGCATTCGCGACTGTTCAAACGGAGCCTGTGGAACTGCGGTTGGAAGTACAGTTATCGCTTTCGGTGATTCTTATTGTTCGACGGCTTTTGCTACTCACACCGCAACAACCACTGGCTTTGCTGCTCTGCCCTCGTGCGGTCAGGCATGCTTCAACAACATGGTGGCTCAATATTCGGCCCTGGGTTGCGCTAGCCCATTGCCCTCTTGCTTGTGCAAGAATGCTAACTTTGGGTATGGCCTGAGGGACTGCGCGAATGGCGCTTGTGGGACCGCCGCTGCTTCAGGTGTCATTGCTTTTGGTAACTCGTATTGTGCGTCTGCCACGGCTGCTCATTAGTTCGTCGTGCTCGGGAGACGGTACAAGCAAGGAGGTGGTAACGCTATTTGGCAATGTGCTCAATACTATCGTGCGGCTAGATGACAAAAGGATCGGGATATGAGGTACGCCACGGTGCCTGTTCACGTCCTCATTCCTATTTAGACATGGACCTGTCGAGTGTTGATCAGACAGCCAGAATTAGTTGCTTTTGTTGCGTAATTCACGCTCTGCACGCTTCTGTGCGAGATGTTCCAATAACACCACAGGCAAAGGATGTTCACGACGCGGGCCGCCCCCATGGCTTTGAACCCAGTCCTTCTTCTCTTCGATCTTGTTGAATGGCCCCTCAAAGACGTCCACCATCCATTCGTATGGTAACTTGGTGTTATATGCTAGAGGACGCGCGACCTCTTTTGCCTTCATAATCTCGCTGCGCAAGCTCTTAAGCCAGGGATGAACAGCTAATGTCCTGTGGTTAGAAAATTTGGAAAACCTCTTGGAGGTGATAGGAACAGGGCGCTTACAGCTGACATAGTCCCGAACTGTGACAAAGGAATCACCACCCGCTGAAGCCATGACTTTCAGCTTGATCTCCTTCTTCCGAAGGGGTCGGTCTTCTCCGCAGCACTTAATGAGAAATTTCGTGTCCTCGTCGTCTTCCGGAGGCTCTCCGGCATAAGGCCGAACATTATTGTCGAGATCGCCGTAGGCGACGAGCACTTGGTTGTACTCGGGTGCCTCATGCCAATCATGCCACTCAAGCCAGTCTGATTCCCACTGCCGGAGGTCGCTAACCATAGCCTCAACGGACGAGACCTTTGGTTCCGTCAGGGGCATACCCGCAAGCTCATGCCATGTTGCTGTGTCTGGTCTGAAGAATGGTTCCAGGTCGTTTGCGCCTTTGCGGGTCTTCATGACGGAAATTGCCCCGGGAAAGTCGCCGTCGAGTTCCCAATAAAGTCGCCAGGTATCGCGAGTGAACATGACACGATGTCCCTTGCGTTGAAGTTCTTCGAATGAGGGATAGGGCGGCCCATCCGACTGGAGTGATGGTGTAGGCTCCATCATTGTAGAGGTGGCGTAGAACCTTGTGTTGATGATAAAGGTACAAATGAAAAGGAATGGAACAAATGCTGGGAAAGCTGTTAGAGCCGGAAAAAAAAAGTGGAAGGATTTAAATGACAGATAACGGCATGATCTCCGGCAACCCGGCACGGGGACTCGGACCGGTTAGGAACGATGCATGTGTAGGCGCACTGGGCGGGTGTTATGTAGTAGCGAAAGCTTAGTGGGAAATGTGACAAGGGTACCTTGAGGCAGGGCTACTAAGGATTTTAAAGAATGGCTTCTCCAGCTAGATCCCTCGGAGATCGTCGTTTATACCGACGGCTCTATGATAGCCAAGCAGATGGGCCTTCCAGCGCACGCGGAAGACCCGGACGCGGAAGAAGAAAGACCAGAGGGCGAATGCGTAGGCTTTGGCTACGTAATCTTCCAAGGACAGACAGAACTTGGCCGCGGATGCGGTCAACTAGAATATGCAGAAGTCTTCGATGCGGAGGCGGAAGGGGCGCGGCATGGTCTCAAGGCCGCTGTGGCGCTCTTTCCGGAAGCACAGGTCCGGCCACGCATTACGGTATGCCTCGATAACACGTCCGTCATTAGAGGACTCCGGGGAACCCCAGCTGCGTCGTCACAAGCGGCTTTCCTTGATTTCCGGGCCACCTGCAAGAATTATGGCCCTAGACTGGTGGACGTCCGCTGGGTGCCTGACCACAAGGGCATCACGGGCAACGAGATTGCTGACGAGCTCGCTAAGGCGGGTGCTGAAGGGGAGAGATAGTCAATGAAGGCTTGGCTACCCTTGCGCACTCAAAGCGGCTTGCTAAGAGAGAGGCGCGTACGGATTTCAAGGCGTGGTGGGCCACGAACAAGCCAGAGTCGTATGCAGACTACCGGCTAGGGGTCTCTATCAAGCCTAATGACGAACTAAGAGAGTTGGACAGACGCTTTTTACACCACCTTCTCGCGGCCAGATCTGGCCACGGGGATTTCAAGGACTACCATGAGCGCTTCGAACACGAGGACGCGTTGCTGACGTGCTTTTGTGGAAGCTGGAAGACTCCCTTCCATCCCTTCTTCTGCAGGAAGGCATATGCGGTCTCCCCGGTCACTGGGGAAGCAGCTACGCGGGAGAACCTCTCCCTTGCTATTGGAACCTACTGGCAGCACTTCATCGCTAGGATCCAGACTTCGCACTTCTTTTCATGGACGTGCACGAGAAAAGCATGGCGCCAGACACTCTGGCAACAGCACATCGACGACGGAGGCACCGCCGACGACCTTACGGGGTATTTACGGAGGGAAGGGGTGAAGGTTGGCCACGGCCACGAGATCGAGAGGGTTACGGTAGACTTG